CTAGGTCTACATCCTCTTCTGGCCTCCACCAACACCAGGCATGCACATGGTACATAGACATGCATACAGGCAGAGAATCCATACATAGAGTAAAATAATAATATGTTTTATAAGATTTAAGATTAAGATTATCCTGCCTCAGCCACCCACGAAGGTAGAATTATAAGCTACATCACCAGTCCCACCAAAAAAAAAAAAAAAAAAAAGATTCCTCTTCAGAAAGTAATATAAACAAGGAAATATGCACAATATTGTAACTGTGGGTAACAGGGGTTCTTCTCGCTATGTGAGACTCTTGCCTCAAGATCGTATGCCTCAGGACCATACATAAGAATGTGAATTAGCTAGAAGTGGTAGCACAGGTTTGTAATCTCAGCTGCTCAGGAAACTGAAGCAAGAGAATTGCAAGTTTGAGAACAGCCTGGGCTGTTTGGTGAGCAGTGTCTCAGGGTGAATAAAATAAAGTCTGTAGATAGAGCTCAGTGTTGATGATGATAGAGTAAGTGGTTTCCTAGCATGTGTGATTCCTTGAGTCTGGTACCCATCGAGAAATAGGAAATGGAAGGAAGGGTAGGAGTGATGGAGGTGGGGGAAGAGCAAGAAAAGAAAGACTGTGAGTCATGTGGACAGTGTGAAGATTTGTCACTCATACTGGTTTAACACAGTGCTGCTGGCCTGAGAAACCAGCTTCTTTGCTTTTCTGATCTTCAGCTTGAAGTTTGAACCCAAATATCAGTCTCTGGGTCTTTTATTTATCATACTACATGGGAGTTAATGCATTTTAGTGGAATGTATTTTAAAATATAGTAATGTATAAGCCTAACAGATGAGCTGAAAGATGATTCTTTGTAACACACTCTGATGTTTATAGTGGCCATTCCTAAGAGTGTGTCTGCACCAGAAGACACCTTAGTTCTTGAAAGAATTCAAATCTGTCTTAATTTTGAAATACACTTACTTAAAGAACCTAATGCTACTCTGATAGATTGTCCCCATCTCACATGGTATTTTATGTCTCTGACATTATCTTAAGTCCCAGAGCAGGACACCTTCAAAGATACGGATATTCAGGGTCTCAGTTCCACCCTCAGCCATATGTGCCATAGTTTGCAAAACTCTGATAGACAAAATCAACAGTGCACAAATAGATGAACTGATTGGGAAAGATAGTTCAATAGCTAAAGTGTTTGCCACACAAGTGATGAGGACCTGAGTTCAGATCTCACAACCCATGTAAAGCCAGGCATGATAGCATGCATCTGTAATCTCAGTTTGCTATGGTGGCATGGGAGGAGAGACAGGCAAATCCCCAGAAGCTTTTGAGCCAGCTAGGCTACTGTACATTGTGGCAAACTGTGTGACTCCATCTCACACAAGATATAAGGCAACAGTTGACATCTGAGGTCGTCCTTTGACTTCCACACATGTACTGTGGCACACATATGCCCACACGCATCATACATACATGAAGATAAAAAAATAGTCCAGTTAAATGGTACTTACATATATATCAAAGGAGTTTTCTTCAGAACTCTTTGAGATAAACACTCATGGAAAATGTAACAAAAAGGAGCCTTGACCACTGGTAGCTAAGTGGCTGAATTTTTCTATTCTGTCACCGATAAAGAGCATAAACCTGAACATTCCTAGTCCTTTGATTCATCCATTTACTCATCTGCTACATCGTTAATATTGAGATTCCATGCACCTTTCATGAGCTTAGTTTGTTGGTCATGTAAAGATCACATAGTCCTTATGTAAAGATCATGTAGTCCCTGTCATTAACTTTGTGTAGATTCCAAGAGTGAGCATATGTTTCCACAAATGGGGTAAAAGTTTCCTGATGGAGGTAAGGAAGCCTGTTAGGAGACCACTAAAGTCTAAAAATAATAAGAGAGTAAGCTGTAGCAATGGGCTTGGGAAGGGGACATGGGGCGGAGTGCTGTGCCAAAGGAACAAATCCATATGATGTGACAGACTGCCTTTGGGGCTCAAGGAGGAAATGACTCCAAAGCTTTTTGCCTGGATTATGTGGTTGAAGTGTGGTTCTGTTCAGGAAAAGGAGAGAACTTAGGAAGAGGAAGCACTTGGAAAAAAAGATGATGAGATTAGGTTTGGACAGATAGAATCTAAAATTCCAGTGAAATAACCAGATGATGTTGTTGAGTAAAGGGTTGAGCAGAAGTTAGGGACTAAAGTGTCATCTGAAGACACATGTCCAGCACTAAATATGATGGGACAGAGAGGGCCGGAAGATAAGAATTTAAAAAAAGATTGAATTGTGGGTGGTAAGAGGATGGAAGTCGAGGAGCCTGGCCCCATGGGGGATAAGTAAAGGGGAACTTTGGGAACATGAGAATGACCCAGAGTGCTAAGTATCAAAAAGGTTCACAAATGAAGAGAACCTGTGACAATATAAAGACTGTGGTCCCCCTTGCCTGAGCGGCTGAAGTGGCATTGTGGGTAAAAAGGCTGAAGAATAAATGAAAGTGGAGCTTCCTTCTACAGAGCCATGACACAGCTTGTTCATTCTTGCATCCCTCCTGTAGTAGTGAAGACTGAGAAAGCAGCTTACTATGGGAGCCATTTGTTATTTGTCCAGACACATTTTACCCGCTGCAGACCCGTTCAGTGCTCAGTGGCATTCATTTAAATGCACACAGCCTTGGGATAATGGAATGAATGCTTTCTTCTTTGTTTTCAGTTTTGAGCTAGTCAAAACCATCCTGGTTTTTACTGCCGTAGACTTAGAGGGCATTCATTAAGATGGAACTTCCCCTCCACTGCAGGATTACCTGAGCAGAATTTTTAGTACTTGTGATGAGATATGAAACAACCAAGCACTTGGGAGCTGGGCACCAGTTTGTCGAGGGGCATGAATAAACCAGGAATTTGATGGTTTGAAAGGTGTTGACTTTAAGTGCAAATAAATATCACTCTTTAAGGAGTCCAATTTTCTCAGCATAACCTATCATTCACAAGCACTGAAGTTCCTTCTAAAGGATTATTTATTTATGGTACTAAATGAAATTGTTGGTACTCAGTGTGGCCTTGTTGTATCTGGGAGTTATTTCTGCTCATTAAGGATGGATTGTGTGTGCATGGTGGTTTTCACCATAGAGTATAAATAGAAGAAAGAGCAAGAATGTGTTAGGATAATTAGGGGAATCTGTTGGAGCAGGCCTGGGGCTTGTAATGAGGAAAAATTGCTCTTGGCACTTCACTTCCATGTTGTATGGTTATTTATATATGTAATATGCCTGTATGACATTTCAGTTAACCAGGACCCTTTTTACATGAGCCAAAATGAAAGCCTGGTCCCCATGCAGCATGGCTTGCTGCTGGGGAGTACTCCAAGAACACAAAGAATAGTGTGAGAAGTACACAAACTGGTCACATAGTCTCTTATTACTATCACTGCACATAACTGTGTGGGTATATGACTGGCAGAGTGTGCTTGCTTCCACTGGTATCCCCACAGTCCGGGGGGGGGAGGGGGGCAGTGCAGTGTGCCACATTATGGCTGGCATAATGCCATGAGACGATAGGCAATTGCAGCTCCACTATAACCTATGGGACCACATTCAGTACCACATTGAGCCTATGCTCAATGTGTGTTGATTCAGCATGTCCTTTCAGTGACGTGTGGCTATAATTAACTTGGTGAAAACTTTCAAAGCACCCTTCACTTGCTGTGACAGTTACTCAGCATCCAAGCACCATTGGTGTGCAGACACCATTTCCATTTCCACATCCACAGTAACTCAGCCAATATGTCTAAGAACCGATTTACCGCTGATCAGTTTCCCAGTTCACTTCTGTCTTACTGCCTATCAACCCGATTAGCTGAGCTCAAACCCACTAGGCTACCTTCTGGTCATCTCTCCCTTTCTGACCTATTTAAGACTTTGGCCCAAGTGTTACTATGTTCTCTTATTATGCTCTTCTATCTATTGCTGAATCTATCTCAGCCTCATTAAGTCCAGGGCTATTTGTAGCCATTTTTCTCCCTGACGATGATCTAATGCTAAGCAGATTTAAAGTTTTTAAAACTATAAAATCAATACCGTGAAACTGGTTTATTTTAAATAAAGTTAAGATGCTTACTAGCCTTATAAAATTTTCACAGTAATCTTATTTCATGTGGCTCTTACAATCCACTGGTAAAAAGAAATGTAATCATGGTTGTCTCTTAATACAATGCATTGTATCCTGGGCCACAGAAAATGCCTTGCTATGTTTCTTAGTGACTGTTCTAATGCTGTGCAACTCTCATAAAGAAAGCATTTAATTGGGGGCTGGCTTACTGTTTCGGAGGTTTAGTCTATTATCATCGTGGCAGGCCGCATGGTGGTGGGGAGCACAGCGGCCGGCAGGTGTGGTGTGGGAGAAGTAGCTGAGAGCTGCATCCTGATCTGTTCCCAGAGAGAGGGGATGAGGCCTGCACCTGGCATGCGCTTTTGACACCTCAGCGCCCACCCAGGGACACACTTCCTCCAAGAAGACCAAACCTACTCCAACAAGGCCACACCTCCTAATTCTCCTAATCTTTTCAAATAGTTTCACTCCCATGTTACTAAGCATTCAAATATCTGAGCCCATGAGAGCATTCTTATTCAAACCACCACACTAGGGTAGAAAAGATGACTCAGTAGGTAAAGGAGCCTGCTGCCAAATCTAACAATTTGAGTTCAGTCCCTGAGTCCCATATGTGAAGGAGAACCGACACACAGGTTGCCCTCCCACCCCTCTCTCTCTCTCACACACACACACACACACACCACAAATTAATATTTAAAAATTTTATACTGGTTAATATAAATTTTCAGTCATCAAAATTTTCATATATTCATGTTGTTTCCAAGAAAAATTAACACCCTCAATATATAACTTGGATTTTAAAAAATAAAATGATTAAGATGTTTCATGTAGCAAATGCTTTTTCTAATTAATACCTTATTAGTAACTTTAACCTATGTCTATGTATGTGTATTTCATAGGAAATCGCCCGGCATTTACGTCCTAAGACCCTCAGAGCAATCTTTGGTAAAACGAAGAGTCAGAATGCTGTTCACTGTACAGATCTGCCAGAGGATGGGCTCCTAGAGGTAAGACAAAGCAATGTGGGAATCCTGCTTATGCATCAGGCTCACCCGTAACCTCCACAGTTCTTGCTCATCTCAAACCATTTAATAGTCTGGGCCACCAATAACTTTATACTAATAGCTCAATAGATCAAATATACCCGAGTGTGCACCCATGGTCCCAGCTCCTCCAGAGAACTCACACAGATTCACCTGCCTTTGCCTCCCAAGTGTAGGGATTAAATGCTTGACCGCTACCTCCCAGCAAGAATGAAATTAATGTGTGTAATACATACATAACAATGTAAAAATTGGTAAAGAGGTCCCTCAAAAATGTAAATCTAGAAATTCTATATGATCCAACAGTATATTCAAAAGAATTAAAAGCAGGATTCACTGCCGGCACTGGTGGTTCATACACACCTTTAATCCCAGTACTTGGGCAAGAGAGACAGGCAGATCTGTGAGTTCAAGGCCACCTAGGGCTACATAGTGAGACCCTCTCTCAAAACAAAAGCAGGGTACAGGCTATTCCTGACAGCCATGTGTTTATAGCAGCATCATTCATAATGGCCAAAACCTGGAAGAAGTTCAAATGCCCACCAACAGATGAATGGATAAGTAAAATGTGGCATATACATATGAAGGATGACATTATGCTAAATGAAAAAGCCAGTTTCAAAAAGTAAAATATTGTATGATTACTGTTATGAGATACCTAGAGTGGTCAAATACATAGGGACAGAAAAAAAATATGTGTTTGCCCGAGACTACATGTAAAATAAATAGAAAGTTATGGCTAAGTTGGTAGAGGAGTTTTTGGTAGTAAAGGGTTATGGAGATGGATGATGACGGTTGCCCAACACATAAGTGTAGATAAAATTATTGTCTACACCTAAAATGGGAAAGCCAAAAGAAAATTATTCATAGGCCAAAAGCAAAGGAAAAATTAACTGTTTTCTTCTTATTGAAAATAAATTCTTTCCTCATATAATAGATCCTGGTGATAGATTCGCCCACCCCTGCTACTCATCCTAGTCCCTCCTCACCCCCCATCCCATCCATATCCAGTCCATTCCTGTCTCTCATTAGAAAAGAACATACTTCTAAAAGATAAAAAACAAAATGTAACAAAATAAGATAAAACTATCACATTAAAGTTGGACAAGGCAAACCCACAGATGGAAAAGAGCCCATGAGAAAACACAAGAATCAGAGACCTAGACGCTCACCCACTCAGGAGTCCCATAAAAATACTAAATTGAAGCTGGGAGTGGTAGCACACACCTTTAATCCTAGCACTCCAGAGGCAGGCAGATCTCTTGAGTTTGAGGTCAGCCTAGTCTAAAGGATTGTAATAGCCAGGGATGTTATACAGAGAAACCCTGTCTCAAAAGACAAACAAGAAAAAGAAAAGAAAAACCTAAACTGAAAGCTATAATATTTACCGAGAACTTGGTGCAAACATGTGCAGGCCCTGTGCTTGTTGCTGCTTCAGTCTTTATGAGTTCATAGGAGCTTTGCTCAGTTGCTGTAGAGGACCTGTTTGCTTGGTGTCATCCATTTCCTCTGGCTCTTACTCTTTTTCCACCTCCTCTTTCTGAGTTCCCTAAGCTCTGTGGGGAAGGATTTGATGGAGACAGTCCATTTAGAGCTCTGTGTGTGTGTGTGTGTGTGTGTGTGTGTGTGTGTGTGTGTGTGTGTGG